TAAGCAACTTAAACTTTTTTTCTTATATTATAAAAACTAATTTTGCAAAAAAGTAATCCTTATTTTCAAATATAATTATACAAAATTTTATTTAAATATTTTAATATTTTAAAAAAGTAAATTAGAGCTAAAAAAATACAAAAATGCAGGCAAATTTGCCTGTGTTGGTCTATATATTAAGGAATAAGTATCAAAAACTAGCTAATATTAAATATTAAGCTAAACTATTTTAAATATAATCAAAATTAAAAAAAAAGTAGTTTTGATATGATATATAATATATAGCTTATCAAAATTTTAAAAAAACAAATTCTTAATAAAATTAAAAACTCTAAAAAAAAGATAAACAATTATAATAACAAGTTGCACCTGAATACAATGGTATTGAGTAAATCTTTATTTGGTTAGATAGCATATAAATATTATATAGACACACAAAATATAATTAGTATTATATAAACCTTAATAAATAAAAGCAAAATTATCAAAAAAGAAGTTTATAATATATATACCAAACTGCATATTCTGAATCTTTTTGTTTGGTATAAAGTATGTTCATTATATAATTCACTCTCTCTATACCAAACTGTTTGGTATATAAAGCTAGTCAATAAAACCTCTTACAAATTTAAATCAATCTGGAAAATTCCAAAATTTTACTTAAAATTTTGCCTCATTCTTTATGTTTTTTTCATTTTCTTTTTGGAAAATTTTGGAACACATTACTTTGTATCCATGAAAAATTATATAACAGTTCACTACTGTATATCAAAATATGTATACATAGTCTTGGGCTGGTAAAGGCGAGTTCGGATATAGTATATAAAGATTTACTATTTAAGTTCGGTATAGCCAGCTTAATTTATTATAAAAAATCTGTTCTCCCAGATCTGGTTCGTTATAGCCCGATTCCGGTATAAACAGGTTCGGTATATCCAGAGTTGACTGAATAAAGAAAAAAAGTTTTAATATTTCAAAAACTACCAAGCCAATTTTATAACGATCTTACTATATACCATTAGAATTACAAAAACTAGCTCTAGAATTTTTATTATAAAGAGAAGAGGTTAAGTTAGTAAAAAAAGGCTTTACATTGAAGAATTTGCAGATTCCACTTTATTTTAAAATTTATATACAGTATATATATATATATATATAATATATGTCCCAGATTTTACTATAATAATATATATATATATATATATATATATATATTTATATACTACGTACGTATAATACGTAATAATCTGATTCTATATACTATGAATTACTGAATTACCCGTTACCACTTAAATTAAAATAGACATTTAATATCTGTTCAAATCCTAAATATGTGACATATTTAAGCATATTTCTGCATATTGCTATTGGCTAAAAAGCACGCATACGACCACCCTGCTTATTAACTAAGGAGAGTGAATTGTAGTCTTATTGGTAGGAATGATATAAAAGATTTCGCGTTCAAACCATAAATAATTTCGTATAAACTATTAATATTGGATATTTTTCGTGATTGATAATCTTATTGAAATAACAAATGGCAAATACTGAACGAGGAGGAACGATTAGGGACTATATTGAAGCTCGTAAAAAAGGAGGAATGACATGGTAATGCAATGTTTTTTATAAATATATTTTCAAAGGATCTATAATTACTATTATTCATTTTTGTTCTCACCAATTACCCATATTGCTCATCTTTGAGGGACGAATTTCGCAAACTCAGATCAGAAAATAAAGGACCAGAAGTTTCCGATTTTGAACTTATCAAGTATCGTAAAAAATTGGACGAAGAAAGAGAGGCAAAATTGAAATCTGCCTCGTCCACCAATAAAAAGAAGAAGAAACATAGTCGTCGTGAGCACAGAAAAAAAAGTGTATCAAGGAGCCGTAGTAGGAGTCGCAGTAGGAGTCGTAGTAGGAGTCGTAGCAGGAGTAAAGATAGGAGTGACAAAAGTGATGATATGACTAAAGAACGTATAAATATCGAACGTGAATTGAAGGTTCGCTTTCATTATAATAAAAATTTATATTTGCACATAAAATTGATCTAGGTCATTAGGGTTGAACGAAATTACTTCAAGCTGGTTATAGTATATTTACAAATTGTTAAATCCGTTTTAAAAGAATTCAATTTAATTTATTAATAGTATGATAAACATCACAGTAAGGAAAAGCATCATAAATCAGCGAAGCGTAAATTTAGGAGTTCGGAAGAACGAACCTCTTCAGATTCAGATCACAAAGGGCACAATGACAACCATAGGAAACATCATGGACATCATAGTCATTCACATAAGGTTTGATAATTTCATAAAAATTTTTGGATTATATCGTTTTTATATTTTTGATTTAATTCATATTATATTTCAAGAAACATAAACATAAGATTAAAGAGGAGGAACATCGTGGAGATACACCTGTACGGTTATCAGAGTTTCTTAAACATGGAAGTAGTAGTTCGGATGAATAATAATTATGAAAATCTGAAAATTTTGTCTATTTATCGAAAAAACTATAATTAATTTAAATACAAGTTATAAGCTTGTTTTTAATCAAATAAAATAGTTTTCGAATTTTTTTTTTTTTTTTTTTATTAGTGTTTGGTATGCCATATATCGCGAAAACTTTACACATTGTTAAATATACCAAATTTGTCAAAGTTCACTCTCTTCACATTGTATGAATAAACAATTCATATTAGTCAAGAACATTTCATTAGTCTACCTCGATGATTAAAGGTATTAAAAGATGGATGTGTGTCAATTTCATCAATAGTCCTATTTTTATTCGATTGATAAATTAACCAAAAAGGCTATTACTAGTCAGAATTGAGTAAAGTAAAATGAATTAATGAACTTACTTTTTTGCTAACTCATGTTTAATTAAAATGGGTTTCAAAGGGCCTGCAGCCAAAATTATACCAATAGTACAAATTGACACAGATACAAGGCATTCTACCGTAATCTGATTATTTAAAAAAATAAAAATAAAAAGGTTGATTGATGTTAATTGAAATATAAATTTCACAAAGAGATACCTCTATTGGCATATAATTTGGTATTTTATCAACGGCTTTAAGGTAAGATAAATCTAATTTAAATTGATAGGTGTTGGCAGTAAAATTAGAAAAAGTAACGTGTTTAATATGCTAACAAATGTAGAATGTTGCATTTTTTCAAATCACAATATAAACCTACGTTCATAAGTAGAATATGCAGAATGGAAGAGTAATAAGAAGCCTATCCAGCCTAAAATCTTTCCTACTTTGACCGTGGACATGCTGTTCCCGGTCTGCTTGTAAAAAAAAAAAATTTAAAAGATGGTACATTGAAATTTATAAGTTTTTGACCTCTTACATGTGTAACAACGATTGGGCGAATGCAGATCACATGAATTTGGTAAATTTAAACTTATTAGCGTTAGTAGTAAAATTTGAATAACTACTTAAGTTTTTAACTATTTAACCAGGGGTGATTTGACCACCCCTATTAAAATTTAGGGTTAGAGTGCGGTTTTAGGTTTTTTTTATATGTATTAGATACTGTATAAGGCCCTGATTTTAGTTCTCGTGAGGTTTTTATGGGTCCTGAACATTTTTATTTAGAGCAGGGCCACCAGTGTGTGAAATTCAATTTTGATTTTATGTTCTCACTGAGAACACTTTTCTAATCCTTAACGTTCTCAAAAAATTTTTAATATTCTCAATATAGAAAAATTAAATTTGTATAATATCAAAAAAATCTATTTAATGTTCTCGCATAGAGAACATATTTTAATAAATTATGTTCTTAAAATTTTATTAATGTTCTCGGAGAACATTGAGAACATTGAATTTCGCACACTGAGGGCCACGGAAAATTTTGGATATTTCAATCCTTTATTTGGGTATCAGCAAAAATTTGGAAAATTTTGGATTTTGGCCGGCATTACGAAATTAACTTTACTAAAAAAATGGCGACGTTTTATAGGCCAGAGCCTCAATTCTTAGGTCTTACAATTTATATATTTATTATACGTGTATATGTAGAATTAAATTTAAAATATATAGTACATTATTAAATTTTATGAATTCCTATTACTTTAATATTACATTTATAACAAATTCATAAAGAAAGTAATCTTTGTTCTTACTTTGTTTTATGGTTCTTGATATATCTATAAATGTAAGACCTGTTGCAGTAATATCAAACCTTGTAGTTTATGAATTGTAATTGTCCAAGTAAGAGAGCAAATACTAGATTTTCTCTTCCAAGTGTATTTGATAGCAAATTGGTATTACTTAATTGCTGTTTATTGTAAATCCAATTTAGTATTATCTTGTAGTTATGCAATACCAAAAATAAGTTTCTTATACTATGTATAAGAGTATGTAAATTAATTTATTAATTAGAACAAAAACTGACTAATTTATTTTATTTTTTTTGACTTTTATATTACTCTTAAATTATATTATTTATATCATTTCTCATAAACTTATATATATATATTTTATATTATTATATACTGTAATTTTTAATTAAATATTTAGTTAATTATCCTATTCATCATTACTTATTACAATATTGATGCACCTGATTCCAATCGATTATCTACATATTCCTGGATATTATTACTACAATTTTGATTCTTACTATTACTTCTACTTTAATAGACCAATATTTTGTTTCTTATTTATTTTAACAAATTTTTTCTAATTTTATCCAATATGCTTGAGATCAAAAATACATATTTATTAGATTTATATATTTGTATAAAAATTCTTTTTTATCTTATATATTTATATATATATAATTATATATAATTATTGTTACAAATTAATTTATTTTGAATAGTAATACTATATCTTTTAAGAGTCAACTACAAGAGACCCTCTCTCCTCGTCTATCACTCGTACAAAATTTTTCCAACAAAAAATTACTAAATAATTAAATAACTCTAAATTTTATTAAGCCAACTGGCTTTCTGCTCCTAAACAAACAAACTCTGCTCATAAAAATACATATAATATTAAAGTTTCGAATCGTTAACTCTTAAGTTTACTTAAATAAAGGCCTTTCGG